TAAAAAGAGGAAAGGTGAAATTCTCTGTGCACCTTATCCACATCTAAGCTGCTGTACTTTAGCACTGTTCCCAGTCCAGATTTTTGCCACGTTTATGTCATCTTTATCAGAGAAAGAAACGTAGATGCAGGAAAAGTTAAAACTTTGCTGACCTCCCAGTCACATGGCATTTTAATACAAAAATGTTTTAGGCTATATGCGAATTGCAAAAAAATCCAATATTGCCCTGTCAACTACAGAGGGGAAAAAACAAGCAAACTCACTCCTTAAAAATATCTAAATAAAAAGAACAACACTGCATCATTATCTTTCTCCTTTTTCATTTAATTTTAGCTCATTCTGTTCTTTGGTTCAGGCTTAAAGTATTATTTGTTTGGGAAAAAAAAAAAATGTACTTGGCAGCATTTGTTTAATATACTAAAAAAAAATAGTTTAAAAAATCCTGTTTGGCACTGGTGAGATGATTATTTTGGTGAGCCTATTGCTGCATGTTCATGTAATACATGGCTGCTGTTTTGTTCGGCTTTCTCTGTTGCATTTAGGTTATCTAGTTTCAGATAAAATCTATTAAGTGGAGTATTTTTCAGTAGCTGAGGTTTTCCCACCTGTCTACCCAAAAACACCTGCAACATATGTTTGTGTAACCCTACAATGCTTTGTGGTTTGGGCCTTGAGAAATTCCCCCAGAGCTTTTTGCTTATAAACAGCTGAGCAATTCATTTCTCTAATGACAAGTGCTTTTCCCCTGGCATTGAGGCAATAGCATGTTCACTAAAATAAGTCTCATTTTTCATTAGACATATTGAAAATCTTTTTTCATTGTTAATTCTTCAGATTTTGTGCAAAATTGTATTTTGTTCTTTTTTTTTCCTGTTAATAATACTGAGGAGAGGGGAAAGGAAACACCACGACAAAGAAGTGAAAAAAGAGTGTTGTAAGGATTCCTCTGCTTGCACCTGCATGTAAACTTTTACAAATGATGTCTGTTCAGATGGTGAGATGTTAGGTTGCAGCAGTAACCAGATTTTCCTGGTGTGCTGCAGAACAGTCTGCCTGTGACTTCTGTCGTGCACAATGTGCTTTGCTGTATCGTATCAACTCTATGGGTAATGTGACACGATATATCTCCAGAGACCGGGGAGGAAAAGGATTATACTAGGGAGTTTGAGCATATGGAGCATGATCCTTAGCTGGTGGGAGCTGCTTTTCAGCTTTTTATGCAAGTTTAGGGAACCTCTGCTGCGTTTGGTGGGATTCAGCCTCAGCCCCCCACCTAGGAAAAGACAGGGTAGTATAACTTAACTCAGCCCCTTGTCTCTGGAGGAGAATAAAGCCAAATAGAAAATCCCTGATAACCTCCTGCCAGCTGTGGGAATTGGACTGAGTCAGTCTGGTGGTGGCTGGGTTCAGAAGGAGGCGGGATGGGGATTAAGCAGGCAAGTGAGAGGGAGCATCTTTTAGGAAAATAAAGGCTCAGAGGCAGGAGTACCTCAGACACCTGCAACATTTTAAGGCATCTCTTCCCTTTGGGATGAGACTAATACATTATGAAGAGGTGAAATCCAAAACCACATGAATTTCTATGCGTGCTTCTATATATGAATGTTTGTACGTTATTCTTTTAAAAGTATAAATCAGGCATTTTCTGCCACTTGCAATTAAGCATGCCCTAGGTAGAAATTAAGATTGGAAGTATTCTAAAACCAGCAGACTGGTCCTACAGTTTGGGTGTGGGGAGGAGGGATTTCCAGTATTGGTACCGGCAGCTTTTCTCTGCAATTTCTGTGCTCTTCTTCCCTTAGAGAGAAAAAAGATAAATGTAATAATCTGTATAATGCCCTTTTCAATTCCTTTTCACAGTTTTCACAAACTACTGATTTTAATGGTTGATTTCACTATTATTTTAACATTATCCTTATAAGAAAAAAGATTTTATCTGAGATACTGGTCAAATTCTTACATAAATTGAGAAAGTAAAGGAAAAACCATACTTGTTTCAGTAATTAAAAATAAAATTGGGATCATTCTAAATTTTACTGTGTAGGAAAGAAATGTGGTTACTGCAAATATTTTAATCAACAGAGCTGTGTTTTGCTGTCAATACATTTGTTTAGTCTTCAGTCCTAATACATGGAATTATAATATAGGGTTGTCACGCTTTGACTCAGGACCAACAGCAATGGGGACAGCTCAAATTGGATGCTTAGAGAGGAGAATTAGCTTAAGATTCATAAGGAGGTGACGTTGTCATTGTATAGGTTTTCCTTTCGGATTCTTATATTTGCCTTACTGAAATGGTTAAAAAGAATATAAAATTCAAAGGACAATCACAATGACATGAAGGTCATAATATTCTTAAAACTATAGTTTTTGCAGTCTGAATTTCTGTTTTCAGAAGTATTTAAAATTTCTATGATGCTTCACAGACTTGTCTGGTAACATATATGTCAGGCTGATATTTTTTAAATAATGGAATTTTCCAAAAGGATATCTCTGTAGTTTTAAAAAAGGAGTTGCAGCAGTAACCCTTGATATTTACTGTCTTGCATTTCTAGCGGTTTTTCAACAGCATTTTTTTCTGAGAGCTTTTCTTCTCCACTGCATGTAATAGTACTTTAAACTGTTTCTTCCTTTGATACCTTTAAGCCTCATAGGAATTTCAATAGGCCTCTGTGAAAGTAATGCCTGAGCCTCATTCATATGTTCAAGTTACATCATTATTCCTATTAATGGCTTTAAGTGCTTAGACAGTATATCAGCCTTTAGTGTCTGGAATTGTCATTTCTGCATAAGTATGTTTCAAGATACTGTTCCACATGATTTATTTATTTATTTTTAATTCTGAAGGAATGTGTAACAATATTTTTTATTTATTCATTGGGTAGGGGAAAAAAATGTAATTTCTTTTAAAGAAAAATTTAGATTAAAATATATGCTGAATTATTTGAAACAAATGGCAAAACTGGCTAACATCTGGTAATGTCAGTTTTTCAAAGGGCTGTCTTCTGACTTAGAAGTGCCCGTTATTTTAATCACCTCTACTGTTGCAACTGCTTTAAATGGTCATCAAGACACGTAAAGAAAAAAGTTACTTAATTCACAAGAGAAAAGTTACCCTGTTTGATTACTCACAGAGTAGTCTCAGAGCCATCAGTTATCCTCATCACGTCAGTTTGGATTTGATTATCATAGAAATGCATTGAATTACCAAACTGGAGCAATAGTAACTAAAGCTGATTCATTGTTATTGCTGTCAGTTGATGAGGACTGACTTACAAGCCATATGAATGGGTAGAGTTATGCAAATATTGTTCTTGTTACAGGAGAAGAGAAACGTAGAGCGGCCATTACGATGTGGGTGGTAGGATAGATGAGGGGTTTTTTAATGCTTGTCTAATAGCTTTTACTTGTTTCACTTTTTAATGAACATTGCAAATGGGACATATTTTTAAAGTGTTTAATGTGTTTCCAAAGAAAGAAAATGAGATATTTCATACAAGATTAAGTCTGCAGGAAATTATCTGGAAATCCCCATCCTTACATTTGACCTCAGAAATCATCCTGGCTTTTGGTATCTCCTACTTCTTTAAATCTTCTGTTCTCCTTTTGTGCAAATGCAATATTTTGGTCTTTAAAATGCAACTGCTATATCCTCCTCCAAAAACAAGGTTTCCAAGGATGGAGGGTTGTCTGCAGTTATGTGGAAAAGGAGAGGATAAGACTGTGGATATTCCAGTCTATGAAATCAGGAAGGCAAAAATACAACATGTGAAACTGAAACAGCTGCAGACTGACTCCAGAAAAAATATAATGTACTCTGTGAACGACTGTATGTAATGTACTAAATATACTAAATACAATGTACCTGTGAACGACTGTTTTGAAAAGGTCATTGTGTAGTTCATTAAAACTATATTTACTACTAGCAGAACTTTTAAAAAGGCAGATCAGAATAAGAGGCAACAGCATACGAATGAATAAACCTTTAAAGCAAATACTTGGAAAGTATTTACTTCTACAGTATATCTGACCATTATGCAGAAATGTATAATTTTTTTTTCTCTTACGCTACAAATTAGCTACTTTAAGCTATTTTTCTTCTAATTTATATTTATTTTTTAAAAGAGCCTCTCTGTACCTCTCTGTTGTTTTGGTTTCATCTGTATGACAACTTTTTTCCTTAAAAATATTTAATTCACCCTCCAAATAATATCCTTCAGGATGCATTTATTCAATCAGGATACTTATGCATATGCGATGGCCTGCACTTAATCAATGTCCGGTGTTTATTAGATCAAAAAGGATGATTTAGGAACTACTGAAGGCAGCATGCTTCAGTGGAATAGTTTCCTGATGGCAGAGGTGAAGACTAGCAAGTGGCTTCTGGATCCAATATTAATCATATACATTTTATTATAGGAGAACAGTTCTTTATTTGTGGCCTCTGTTTTGAGTAGAGTGAAATTTGGAGAGAACAAAGGCTCTGTATGCCATCTAGTGACAGTGTTCAGTGTCTCACTAAGTAGAATTTGTTGCTTTACTAAGACTGCTAATGATGCGTTCAGTTCAAAATGTCAGCTATAGTTTCTCCTTGCTATTACTGTCTTCTTTAAAAACATATCACTTTATCTGGGAGGTGGTAAAATTCTATGCCTGAGCTAAAGGAAGAAAGCTGATCCAAATCTAAATCTGAACTTTTCAAAGAATTACTGATCTAGTTAGAATTATTACCTGTGTCCAACAGCCCAATCACTGTGTGGAAGAACACTTCATTTCTGTGAGCACAGTGGATTGACTGGTAGTATTTTAAGTAATTTAAGACTTCAATTACATGTAACTGCCATTCCTGCCTTGAGAAACCAAGATCCTGGGGAAAAAAATTATGCTTTAAATTTCTAATCGTCATTAATGAGCATACTTCTTGTCTCTGCTTTAAATCTCTCAGAAAATTCCAACAAGGTATATTTTTTAAAAAAAAATCTCTTCTTTTTTTTTTTAAGAGAAATCCAAGACCAGTGACTCACCAATTCCAACAAAATTTAGATTATTACAAAGCACGTGGAGCAGACTTGGTGAACAAGACCCGGTAAGCTATTTCTGAAAATCTTTTCAGTGAACTAACACCTCACCTAAACAAAATGTTTCGTAAGTATCTTTTATCCCAAACAAGAATTAAATAAGCAGTATTAGAAGCAGGTGTGTTTATTTCATTACCTGTATTTTGAATCTTTACTTTGCCGGTTACTACAAGAAAAGTGAAAGTTTTCCAGATAGTTTTGTAGTCAGCTTGATGGCTTTTTTTAAAGGCTGAGGACATTCATATGCAATGGCAGATGTAGTGAAAGTGAAGTAGAACGTTGCCAGTGTGAGTTCTGTAGCTGAACTACTTCTGATAATGCGTCTAGTCACAGTCTGGAGTATCCATGTACCAGAAGCTGTAAATTGAATTAATATAAATCCAGTTTGAAGTAATTTTGATGAAACCTTTCTGCAGCATTCCTCCCTTGTTCTAGAAACATTTTGTATCAATACTGCTTCAGTTTCTTTTATCTGGTAGTCACAAGTGCAGAGGTGCCTGTACCCCAGCTGAGTGGTCACAGTGTGGGTGCCCATGGCTGATGGGTGGTGGCTGCTGGTGGCCATGGGGCAAGCCAGCCCGAGACGTAATCCCTGGCTTCAATTTCTACTGTCACAGGCAGTTTCTTGGCTTGTATGTGGCCCCAGCCATATACCATGTCTGATGGTTCATAGGAACTTGCTGGCTTTTACACCTTTGTACTTCTGCCAGATTCTGTTTAAGTCAGTTACAATGAATGCCAGCTAAAGTTTGAATGGAGTAGATTAAAAAGCTCTTACATTAAAGCTGGGTAGAGTAATTATTTTTTAAAAACAGACTATGTCAAAAATTACTGCATTCTGTTGCATTTATTGATTTTTTTTAATTCTTTTTTTTTAAATGCTCCGAAGGGTTGCCTAGGATTGAAAAATTAATTACATTTCAGGAATTCAGGGGAAAAAAAAATAATCCTAGTAATTATGAAGCCCAAACAAGATTGACACCTGTTGGAAACTAAATTCCAAGGAACCAAACGGCCATTAAAGCTGTGTAAGAATATGAAATCATTGCACACCTACATACAGCATACACACCAAGGGAGAGGGGAAATTGTTTAGAATAGTGCAGATAGAGGAATAACCCAGATAAATTTATCTCAACACAGGAACATATAGAGTAGGTCAAACATGGTAAATCTGTTTTAGATTGGACTAAAGAGAGAACTGAAAGATATAACATTAGGAAACGTTTCTACAGTGAGCAGAAACATGAAGTAGATCAGCTACCAGGTCTTTTTCATCCGTATTTCTACAGAATCAATGATATATTGAAAATATTTGGCAAATCTCTAATATATATTGCTTATTTTATCGCATATAAGACTTTTTAATCCATCATATTCATATATTTGTCTCTCATCTCTTATAGTGGCTACTTACTGAAGAGAGAAATGCCTTTGAATAAGGCTTGCTTAAAACAAAACATTTTCATCCTAGAAAACTGCAGAGATTGAATCATCTTTCTACTGCTAGTTTAAAAATACGCCATTCACAGTCAAGGTCAATGATGCTTATTGTGATGAAACAAAATTGTTTGCTTCATAGATGGAATTCACGTCTCCTTGATACACATATTTTTAAACTGATGCCTTACTTTTAAATGCATCTGCAGATCACTCTACAACATAATCAATCGGCATTTTTCTTGTAATTGTTGTGCATGTCTGGTATGTCTAGAGGGCTGAAATGTAGACATTGATCTGCGTTTAATGGCTGTAATCATCCTTTGCATTAATATATCAGATATTTAAATGCTACGAAATAGATGCATTCTTATTTTCCTAAGCTTCAGCTCAGTTTTAAAGTACCTCTTCCAGAGATCTAGCACCTCACTATTGTTCATTTTCTGAAGTTGCTACTCAGAGAAATTGCACAGTAAATTTTACTTCAGAGTACTTTTGTCACCTCTTGACAATAAATTCATATAGCATCATTATTTATTTTTCATGTATGTGTATGTGTTCTGACCTGATCATTAGCAGAGTTAGTTCCTAGCAGTGCCAAATTACACATAAGTATTAGGACGTGCAATTAGTATCCTTCCTAATTCTCAAATAATTGTATAACATTCATACACATTATTGTTGAAAGCATTTTTTTTCATTCGTATTTCAGATGTAACAGCTTAAAAAAGATTTTTTGTGTTTATTGTTCCTGTAAAGTGAAATTTCTCAAAAGGCTCTTTCCAATCATCTGAAAAACACAAATAAACTAACTTCTCCTGTTCTACGTACATGTCAAAGCAGTAAATTAAACAGTATGGAAGGAAAAAAAGCTACATTTTTTTATTAGGCAAAATACAGTTGGAAAAAAGAAACAAGAAAGAAACAAGCTGGTGGACAGAAATACACAAGCCTCTCTATAAGCTTTGTCTCCTGTGCCTGTGGACCATTGTGATTCCAATGATGCAGTTAGTCCAAAGTATCCAGTGGCTTTGTTGCATAGGTAATCTGTCAGAGAAAAAGATTGACTTCCAGTAAATACCATTTTTTGTGCAAAGTCAAGGGGTTTTTTGCTGATCATCAAGGCTCTAGACCTAGAGACAACAGAAAACTAGAACTCAGTGTGCAAGGCATTGTCTTCTTTCTAAGGAGGTGTTTTCAGGCATGTTAGAGTGATGTATACCACCCCAATCCTGGTGATTAGTTTTGGTAAACTGAGGGAAAAAGTATGCCAAATACACTAAAGTTTGCATTCTGAATCTCAACCAGTTTTATTACTGGTATGACCCCTAACATGAGTGATGTAGTTCATTGTGAACTGTTGGTAACAGATTGGTATCTGCTAAGGCAGCATTTGATGTTTCTTCTTCCAACTTCAAAGCTACAATCTTGGTTTTCTTCCTGGAATGGAGAAGACATTTAATAAAAGTCCCTCTGGTGACTTTTCTGATGCCACATATATGCGATGGAATAGAAAAATCTCGTTGTATTTATTAAGTGCCTGCAGTACCTGGGGAAACTGATTAATAACTGAATCTGTTAGGTAGTAGCAAAGTAAAATTTAATAGTGATAAACATTGTACCATGTCCTCTTCTTTAAAATCACTAGGACCTATTCATTTTGCTTTTGAAACCGTTTGGGACTTCTGCAAGAGTACTTTATAGCTCTGAAAATGCCTTCTTTGTAGTGACTGTCAGTCATTCTCAGGTGGCTACAGAAAGACTTTATAGTATTGGCAGCATCAATAAAACGGAGAGACACAGAAACATCCTCTAATCATTATTCAGCAATCATTCTTTTCCAGCTTCCATAAATTGTGAAGGAACACTTTATGCCAGTCTCTGTGCTGCTGTTCCTCCTAAAAAATGCTACATGTTGTCTTTCTTCATCACCAGTATGTGGCAGATGGGCCCTATACAGCTTGGGGCTGTATCTCATGAGTGTAAAGGCTCACATACTTTCTTCTTTCATTTTAACTGTGTCTATTCTGAGTCTAAACAACTCAGCTGTTGTTATTTTCTGGATGTGTTCTATATGTGTGCAAGCATGTATGTTGTGTGTTCTAAACAGAATCATATCTGGAGACAAATATGGAAACTATAAGAAAAGCATAATGAAAATTACTTTTCAGGTGTCTGCACAAGTTACAAGTCACACATATTAATTAATTTGTAAATTAATTTTAGTTAAACTTCCCCAAAAAATTGTAAAATTCCTTTTTCCTCAGTACAGTGATTGTGTTGGTTTTAATTATATGTGTTTCTTCACATTTTTAAAAAGCAGCTATTTCTGTTGCTGAAGTAACAGTAAACTAAAACCCCAGGAGTGGAAAGGTCGCTGTGACTGTGATATATTTCTGTAAAGGGTGTTTCAAGCATTATATAAAACAGGAAAATATTGCATGAACAAATAGGAATAGCTTTGCTGATGGCTGGGTTGTGTGAACACTTCTACTGGGAATTAGAAGCATTTTGCTTCTTTATTTTAGACAGATTAAATGGTTCGACAATTTCCTCATTCTTAATGTTGCATATAACTGAAGTGAATTAAATAGCCACTGCAGTTAAAAATAAAAAGTAGCAATGATAAGGATCATGATCCATTATATGTGTTATATCCTGAAGACATTCTGCAGCCAAAATCACTTTTGAAATCAGGATTCCTGTTAAAAAGCACTTGGCTTGAAATGGCTAGGCTGGAAAGAGGTGAAGTAAAAGCAAGAGATATCTAGCTGTGCCAACCTAAAAAATACAGTCTAATGTTAGTTTTGCTTGTTGAAAGAAATTTTTGGGTTCGAGTTATTTTTGAACATTTAAGATAATTGAATTTAGCAGAAGCAAATACGTGAAGAAGAAGTGCAAAAAGTCAGTTTTATTACGTTTTCGAGGCTTTAGAGCCTGGACTGCTTTGTGTCACGTTTTAATTTTTTTCATTTAAAAAGAAAAATTAAGTAAATTGGTACAAACTTGCTTTGTTTGGGTTCAGTCTGCATTTTTCAGGAAGAAAGGGCCAAAAAAATTGGTCCACCACTGGTTGGGAAAAACTCTCACCACGTGCAGTGCAGCTGTGGCAAAACACCTTTGTAATGCTTGGATCTTGGGGTTTTTTTCCCCATTTTTGGTGAACATGTCTGTCTAAAACATTGTCACGGATGTGATGATTTCTCCTCTTCTTTTTTTCAGGGCTAGTGCTAAGGCTGCCCCACTGAACATTAATAAAGTCTCCAACAGCCTACTGAATTTTGGCCGAAAGCTCATTGCTCCGGCCATGGCTTCAGGTGGGGCTGCGGGTGCTCCTGCTGGCGGGAGCAGTTTTCCTCCCCCTGCAATGCCCATCAGAAGCACAGCAGAAGCCCCCCAGCATCACCACCACCAGCAGCACCACCACCAGCAGCACCACCACCAGGCCCAGCAGCAGAGGATGCTGAAGTCCGAAAGCATGCCAGTTCAGCTGGGCAAAGGTAAAGCTGAAACGTGTGGCGTTTTTAACTCTAATTTCTTGGGGGGTTTTCCAGATTATTGGCACAAATCCCATGCATAACAATATTCACTAAACATGAGTGGAGGAAATTAGATCAATAACAGAGTAATTCTTAATAAACTAAATCTTACTCCCTTTAGAATGTGTGGCACTCATTTCAGAAGTTACTTGAACAGTAGCATGTATTTGCCTTTTAATGATTTCTGATGGCCCTCTGCACTTTCTCTGTTTAGTAAATACTGCTTCTTTTTCTTGAGCCTTGTTTTTGTCTTTCTCAAGGACAATTTATTCAACCAACAGTCACAAGCTCAATTTCAGTAATTGCTCCCTGTACTCTGCCAGGCTCAAGGTACATTACTGCATTTCATCTTCAGACAGCTGACAACAGTGGGTTCTTTGCAAGGATTATGAAGAGTGGTACTGGATCTGCTGCCTCTAGCTACTTATCCTGGGGAATGGTTATAACTTTGAGGTCTCGTGCTCATTGTCCTGAACATAGTATTGCATCATATTTTTCACCAAATTTGAAATTGCAACAGAAGGGAAATAACACTTTGTAACTTAAGTTGGTGTCCTGACCCATGTGGTCCCTAGTAAGTCCTTTCATGATGCATCACATCCTCAGCAGACACTGAAGGAGCAGAATTCAGAGGCACAACTGTTGTTTTCAAGCAGAGAGATGGAGACACTTTTGTAAGGGCCAGTAGAGTGGCTTGGCAAGATCCAGATGTTCAGCTTCTCTCTGAAACCTACACAAATCTCAGAAATTGTTCCAGCAAGAGTTTTACAGTTCCCAACACTGTGCAAACATGAAACTGAAACACAGTGATTTCTCTGCTGTGCGATGGCCTCATTTGGTTTGTAGTTACTATTGCCATTTATAACCCTGTTTGAATCCATGATGCAAATCCTGCTCACATCCGTGGAAGTAGAATTAGATGTGGGACAAAATAATTTCCATGATTTTGGACAGGGTCTTTTGTTAGCTTTTGAACTGTTAGCTTTTGTAACTCTTTTGAAAGAGTTTTCCATTATTCCTGTATATTTTTTTTTTTCTTTTGGCTTGCTCAGTATGAAAAATTGTAGAATTTGAAGCAACTTCTATAGATAGAACAAATTGTAGCTTCATCTTTATCTAGCTGGTCAAGGATGACACTCTGTACACTTATATGTGCCAGCTAACAGGTTGCATCATTCAGAAATACACCTGACAATTTCCATATCACAATCAGAATAAAATATTGTAGTTATGTTTGGTAATTGTCACATACAAACCGTGCACATATTTTTGTGTCAACAGGAATATGGAGATTGGGTAAAGCGATTGAGGAATTATGCAAATTTATTATGTAGGGCACAAACTTCTGCAACTTCTACACTTGCAGAAGGAATTTAAAAACAAGAAAATGTAAATACTCTTTTTTTGATCAGTTGAGATGACAGTGAGTTTTGCTTCACATTTTAGTGGCATGCTTGTTGTTCCCAGTCTGTACAGTTATCAATATATTGGCTGTAGTTGGATAGGAATTGTGAATTACATCAACTGACTACATTTGAAAGTGCTATATTTTTGTATTTAAGAGACACCCATATGGCAATGGAAAAATAAAGTCTCTTAGAGGTTGCCCAGTGAATTCTCTCTAAAGGTTAAATGTAGGAATAGCTTCGCAAAAAAAAAATCCCTATTTGCAGTGACAACATGTCAGAGACAAGGCAGAAAGACCCTCTTGAAGCCTGATGCAGGTATCTTTGTAAACAGTGCAGCACCATCTCCATCACACCTTAAAAGTGAGAATAGCTTCTGTGAAGGACAACAGTCTCACCACTTCAAGAAGGTGCTATACAGCCTCTCTGAAAAGTTGTGGGTACTTCTATCCCAGGCATTAGGATTTGGGATGTGTCCATATCCTGAGAGGGTCTTGTTCCTCTCCTGTTTGCATTGGACTTTTTAGTGCCTTTTTACCTTTTGCACTGCCTTTTTTTCAAACTCTGACTTTCATTCTCACTTTGGGGCATCCAAAAGCAATTTGGTGTGATCTGTAACTAGAAAGCCCCCAGGTCATTGAATGGCTGTCACTGGTTTTCTTATGTTTCTGTTCTTCACTGTTTTTTCAGCTCCCCTCAACCTCCCGGAGCTTGTTTATTTAGCTGAGGTAGGGCAGAGGCACTGATTTAGGATTTAAATGGATAGACATTTGCATTTCCAGTTGATGTAACACTCACAGATGCTCAGCTGGACAGTATAGCAGGCCAGAGCACTGCAAATCTCAGAGGCATCAAAACAGTAAAGGAAGTTACCCATTTTTGTCTTACCTTACTACACTTGTCTTTTGAATGCTCAAGTAGTGCTGGTAATTTAAATTAAGATGTAGAAGGTTGCAAGTTTGAAGAGAGTAAATTAATTGCCTGATCTAGTTTTTATTAAGTGCGAAGAAGCCCTTGGTAGCAAAATATCTTGCAGGACTGGCAAAATAATCCTATCCCAGCTTTAGCAGCTGGGTTTAGGCAGTTGCCACTCACAAACCGGCAGCAGTGGCAGGGGTCATTT